CATGCGGCGTCGTGCAATTCCCCGCGTGCGTTTCGGTGCGGAAGCCGTCCGTGGAACGGATGGACGTCGTCGTTGTCGTCGCTACTTTCGGCGTCGCCAGAGGAAGAGCAGGAGGAGGAGGAGGAGCAGGAAGAATAACAGGAAAAGGATGATGATGCTGCTGTTGCTGATGATGCTGATGATGATGATGACGATGACGATGACGATGATGATGATGATGATGATGATGATGATGATGATGATGATGATGCTGCTGCTGCTGCTGATGATGATGATGCTGATGATGATGATGATGATGATGATGATGACGACGACGATGATGATGATGATGATGATGAGATGATGATGATGATAATGATGATGATGATGATGATGATGCTGATGATGATGCTGATGATGATGATGAGATGCTGATGATGACGATGATGACGATGACGATGACGATGATGATGATGATGATGATGATGATGATGATGATGATGATGATGATGGTGATGGTGATGGTGATGGTGATGATGATGATGATGATGATGATGATGATGATGATGATGATGAGGAGGAGGAGGAGGAGGAGGAGGAGGAGGAGGAGGAGGAGGAGGAGGAGGAGGAGTACCCCCATGTCGACAAGTGGCCAGGATTGGAATTTCGGGCAGAAAGAGTTTTGCAGGAGTGTGTACGCATTGAAATGCCCCCTGGGACCTATGTGGGACCAGACGGCAGCGGAGGTGATTTTTCGAGTGATGTGAGGCTTCGTAGGTGTGGATGGGGCTTTGCAGTGTGGTGCATTGGCGGTTTATAAGGGAACTGCCTGGGGACCGATTAGGGGGCGGCACCAGACGGTGCCTCTGGTCGAGCTCGAGGGCCTCATGCAGGCCCTGAAGCACGCCTCGGGGTCTGCCACGTTCGTCGTGGACTGTGCTTATGTTTTGACAGCGATCCAGGGTGGCCCAGGGAATGTCCCACCCCTCCACGCTGCCGCCTTGGCCCGTTTCTTGAACGAGTTTGAAAAGAGGCTCGGGCAGGCCATGCTTCAAAACATCAAGAGTCACCTGACGGAGGCAGATCTTGGTCACCAGGTTGGGGAAGGACAGTTTAGAGTCAACGAAGCGGCTGATGAAACAGCAATGCGTGGAACGTCCTTAGCTAGCCTGCCCCAGGACGTCCTGGCCGAGGTTTCGCGGGTCGAAGATTTGGTCTCGGGTTTTGGACCGCGTTCTTGTGGTCGGCCGAGAGGGGGCCAAGGCTAGAGATAAGGACGCAAACGCTCCAGGGGCCATAACTCGAGTAAGTCTAGTAGCCGCCAAGCGAGCCCGTCAAGATGAAAGGCTCGCTGCGAGAACGGATGCCCGTGATGCGACCTCCCATTTAGTGATAGAGCGCGGGAGCGGAAGCTTCTTCTGCAGTAAGTGCCTAACGGCACCGAGTCGACCCCTGCCAATTAACCAGTGGTTGGGCTCTTCCTGCCTAGATTTTCCCCATCAGATCCACGCGTCCCACAGAATTCGGTGCCTGCGTGGGCTTTGGTGGTGTGAGCTGTGTGGTGGCTCGGGGCACCAGCGTTTCAACATGTTGGGGAAAATTTGCCAGCGTCCAAGTGACGTTGGCAAAAGAGCGATTACCAAGCTATCCAAAGGGTTCCTCCCTCCCAACTGGAAGGCCTGGCCAAACGAACCAGGACAAGGGGCCCAGGGACCACACGAGTCCAAAATTCCCTTCCAGGCCCCTGGTCGTCATGAGCTAGATTTTGGCCTAGCGCAAGCTGTTCCCAGGAGGAAAAGGAGGAGGAGAAGTAGGAGGAGGAGGAACCGAGCTTGCGTTCAGAACCTTCATTGGGGGGCTTCGTGGTGTTCTTGGGAGGCTTTGGCATTTTTGCGGTTGGGGCCCCTTTGGGCGTTTGGGTTTTTTTTGGGGGCCCCTCGGGGCATCCAGGGCATTTCTTGGAGTGTATTGGGAGTTCTGAGGGGCGTCTCCGCGCCTCTTGGGGGCTCTCCAGGGGCATCTTGGGGGCTGTCTGGGTGGGGGCCTCTTAGGGGCCTGTTGGGCCTTCGTGGGGCTTCGTAGAGGCCGGTTGCGTACCTTTCTGGGCCCTTCCGGGGGCCTCTTGGGCCCTCTTGCCCTCTTGGGGCGATTTTTAAATTTTCTAGGGCCGCTTGGGGCGCAAAAGGCGAATGTGCTAAACGCGTGCGTTTCTTCCAGAGGAATTCGCCAGTTTTTGCCTCTTGGGGCCGTGTTGGGGGGTCCCGGAAGGCCTACTTGGGTTTGTCCAGGACCATCGTGGGCCTATCTTGGAGAATCTTGGGGCTATGTTCGGGTCATCCTGAGACGTGCTACCTGTTGATCCCGACTCTTGGGCCCTCTTGAAGTTCTTCTGGGGTCTCTTGGGGCGCTCCTGGGGCAATCTTGGGGGCGCCGAAAAAACACTCCCGGAAGTTCTGGCATCCTTGAGACCAGTCTTCCGGGGATCGCGATGTATTTTCCCGGAAAGGGCGCCGGTCCAGGTTTTTTTTTTAGTGTGGTAAACCTGTCCCTGGTGCCTCAACTGAGGTGGGCCGGCGGATTCTTTCTTTGAGAAATATCGAGGTCGAGGTGGGCCGGCGGATTAAAATTTGAGGATGTCTTAAGCGAAACGCTTGTTTTTGAAATCCCGATCGATAAATAACAGGGTGCGGGCCACTCTTTCGTGTGTTGAGGATGTCTCGAGGGAAACGCTGGTTTTGCAAAATTGGGGGATGTCTCGAGCGGGGGCCTCGTGGGGGGCCAGAATTCAGAGGATGTCTCAAGCGAAATGGTTGTTTTCACGTCCCGCGCGCAGGAATTCCGAGGATGTCTCGCGCGTGCCACGTCCCGCGCGCAGGAATTTCGAGGATGTCTCGACTAATTCAATTGTTGTTCTAGGAATTCCTTGGATTTTGGCAGGATGTCTCGAGCGAAACGCTTGTCCTTGGCACGTCCCGCGGTGCGTCCCCATGGCACGTCCCCTGGCACGTCGCTTGGCGCGTCCCTTGAGACGTTTCGCGGCGCGTCCTCCTGGCATGTCCCCCTGTCAATTAGCTCTGGGGCAGCTACTATGTGTTCAGGCAGCTCGAGCTTAAGGTCCAGATCAGTTCGGTCAGGACTCGGTTGCAAAGGAGGATTCGATCCACGACGCTATAGAGCACAATCGCGGCATAGCACATCGCAATTCAGCACGGCGCAGCACAGCACAGATTTCGGCACGGTACATCAAGATCGATACATTCAGCATTGCAATTTGGCACGTTACTAGGCACGTTCCGTGGGGCGTCCCTTGGCGAGTCCCCCTGGCACGTCGCGTTGCGCGTCCCCTGGCACATCCCGTGGCACATCCATTGGCACGTTCCGTAGCGCGTCCCCTTGGCACGTCCCGCGGTGTGACCCCATGGCACGTTCCCTGGCACGTCGCCTGGCGCGTCCCTTGAGACGTTTCGCGGCGCGTCCTCCTGGCATGTCCCCCTGTCAATTAGCTCTGGGGCAGCTACTATGTGTTCAGGCAGCTCGAGCTTAAGGTCCAGATCAGTTCGGTCAGGACTCGGATGCAAAGGAGGACTCGATCCACGACGCTACAGAGCACAATCGCGGCATGGCACATCGCAATTCAGCACGGCGCAGCACAGCACAGATTTCGGCACGGTACATCAAGATCGATACCCTCAGCATTGCATTTGCCCGTCACCCAATCAGGTGTCTTTGAAAACGTCGCCATGCGTTACAGCTCTATATTCCTTTCCGGGTTCGTGGGTCGATCATGTTTCGCCCGAGGACCGCCATTGGCGGCCCCGCGCGCGTGAATATAAATATTCGAAGATTCGACATTTGTTACCGGAGATCTTCGCGCGCCTCTGGCCCGCTGGGCCGGTGAATTTGCCATTTATAACCATGATATTGCAATTCCAACGGGGTCACACATGTAGGTCGAGACTGTGGCTTTCGAATCTAGCGCCGTGCACATTGGTATTGAGCTTTTCCAGCAGTTGCACGGATTGTTGGCGGTTTGTCCTGACAAACGTGGCTCTCGCATTGATGTCGCGCAAATTTGTCCGACTGGGTCCCACCGTGCACACGGATGAAGCACAGCCTTGGTTGGAGGGCGATTCGTTTTGAACACGAGGCTCTCGCTGGCAGTGCCTTGGCTTTTCTCACAATGCATTTGATGCTTCTCTTCTGTCGGTGTAAGCGTGTACATATTGTTGGAAGGATGGAGGGCGTTGTCTTAAGGGGGCTTCGTGTAGTGAATGAAGCAAGATGCCAGAGGGGATTTTTGAGGCGATTTAGTACGGGAAAGTGTATTGCAGCATCGCCGATGTACCTCGGGTTCGCCCTGTTCTTCCTTCCTCTCCTCCATCCTCATGGACCCCCCTACTCGGTTCTCCCTGTTCCCACCCCCTTGCTCCCGACTCCCTGCTCCGGGCTCCATCCTCGCTCTTCCTCCTGCTCCTTCCGTTCCTCCTCCAGCCCCCTCCCGTCCGTCACGCGTTCTCTCTCCTCCCTTCCCTCGTGGTGGAGGACCATTCTCTTCCTTCGGTTCTCTCCTCCCGTCTCCTTGCTCGGCGGCCAGCCAGGAGGGAAGCGAGAGGGGGCGGGCCTTTTCAGACGGGTCGGGAGGGGGCGAGAGGGGGCGGGCCTTTTCTGAGAAATCTTATAAGTCTTGCCCGAAGACGCAGAAGGCTTCTCAGAAGGCCCGAGGGCTTCTGAGGAGTCCCGCCGCCTTCTGAGAGGGCCAGCTCCTTCTCACTTCCCCCCCGTCGCCCGCCGCCGATCTGCTGCCTGCCCCCCTCCCTCAAAGTCACTCAGGAGAGGAAAAAACACACAGACACAATTAATCCTCGATTCCCTAGGAAATATGGGAAAATATGGCACGTGTGGGGGAAGACAGAAACCTAGAAAATATAGGAAACTATGGGGAACATTTTTATTTGTGTGTATTTATTTGTGTGTCCCAGGGCCCCTTCACTCAAAGTCACCATCCTCCCCCTTCCCCGCAGGCGCTGTTCACGCCGCAGGTGGTGCCCCTGATCAGGACGCTGCGAGGGAGCAAGAAGAGGGCGGGGAGGGCTGAGGGGGCATGAGGGGGCAAGAGGGGGGCACGAGGGCGGGGAGGGCTGAGGGCGGGAAGAGGGAGCAAGAAGGGGGCACGCCCACGAGGTACGGCTGGACCAGGGCATGAGATCGAGGTCTGTTCGCGGTGGGTGCCCTGCTGTTGTTCGTGTGTCTGTGGAGTGCTCGTGGGCATCCTGGGGGAGGGCCTTCGGCTGCTCGTCAGCTTGGCAGGCGGAGGGTCCCGTGTTCTCGAGGGGTGTTCTTCGGTCCTGTGTCCGGCCGTATCGAGGATGCTGCAGTATGTCTTCTGCACATGATTCCTCTGTGGCCATGAACTTAGAGAGTCTCTCAAGCGAGAGCTCCATTTTGAAAAGGCGCCGATTTCGATCCGTGCAGTGCTGCATCTGTCAGGTCTCTGAAGTCAGGGAAGTCTGAAACGAGAGTTTCATTTTGAAAAGAAACCGTCCTTCATCCCTCTAGCAGTTGCAAGCTCTCAAGAAAAGTGAGCGCGGTGCGAATGCGGGAGCCTCCGTAGACTTGTGCTGGATCCTTGAAGCGGTTGCCACAGTTTCTGGCGAAGGTGTGCGGCGCTACAGCGAGAGCCCCACTGTGAAAAAGGGATCGCCTTCCATCCCTGAAGTGGTATCTGCTGCAAGCTTTTGAGACGAACGCGCGCTGCGCGAAGGTGATACCCCCACTGTGAAAACGATCCCCTCCATCTCCGAAGCCGTTGCAAACTGTTGAGCATGTGCGCAGCGCTGCGACGAGAGCCACATTTTGAAAAACGCCCGCCCTCCATGCTTGAAGCTGTTGCGCGCTGTCAAGACAAACATGCGGCACGCCAAGGCGAGAGCCACAGTCGAAAAGCGGCGCTCCCTCCATCCTTGAATCAGTTGCAAGTTTCCAGCTCCAGGATCATGCATTGTGAGGCAGTCTCGGGCGAACTGTTGGGCCAGCCCTGCCGACGCGTCTGGGGGTTCGATGGATGGCTACTTGTAAGAAAGAGGGATGGAGGATGATGGGCAGGATGGGAGGGAGGATGAAGATGAAGGAGGGAGGAGGATGAGCCAGACGGCATCGGCAATGGATGGACAGGTGGATGATGGGATGGTGGATGGTGAGTGGGGGTAGGCTTTGGAGGGGGAAGGAAGGGGAGGAGGATGAACAGACGAGGATGATGCTGTGGATGATGAGAGTGCTGATGACAACTTGCTGCTGTTGACGGTGTCGATGAAAGCAGGTGAGAATCTTTGATAACAGTAGTGGTCGTGATTATGAGGATGATTACGATGACGAGATCATTTTCATGGTTATGGCGATACCGAGGAGGGTGGGGGTAAGGATGAGGATGAGGGAGGGTAGATGTGGATGGCGAGGATCAGGACGAGAAGGAACCGAGGAAGGTGGAGCGGAAGGAGGAGGATGCGGAGGAGGAGGAGGAGGAGGCTTGCCGGTGCCTGCGTCCACTTTTTTTGGGGTGGCCGGCCGCCGCAGGGGCGGGGCCGAGCTCCAGGGATTCATGGTGGGGGATGCAGGATAGGGAGCGGAAGAAGGGAAGGAGGAGGGGGAGGAGGAGGAGGAGGAGGAGGAGGAGGAGGAGGAGGAGGCGGAGGAGGAGGAGGAGGAGGAAGGAGAAGGAGGAGGAGGAGGAGGAAGGGAAGGCGGAGGGGCAGGAGGAGAGATGATGACGGGGAGAATGAAGAGGAGGAGGAAGGGAGGAGGAGGAGGAGGCGAAGGAGAAGGAGGAGGAGGGGAGGGGATGGAGGGAGGGAGGTAGGAGCACGAGAAGGATCGCGGATGGTGGGCAGGAGGGAGGGAGGTGGGATGGGCGAGAGGGATGCTGGGAGGGGGGAGGGATGGGGAGGGAGAGGGGGGGGGAGTGAGGGAGGGAAGGGGAGGACATGTGCTTATATGAATTCCGCAAACACTGCATGCATTCGGGGGTTCATTATTTGTGGGCTTCGGAACTGGGCCTGCGGTCCGGCGGCTATGTAGCCGCCGTCGCCGCCCCGTCGCCGCCTCGTCGCCGCCCGTCGTTTGGGTCTGCCTGTCGCTCTGGCCGCCATGTCGCCGTCACCGCCGCCCCGTCGCCGCCTCGTCGCCGCCCGTCTCCTGGGCCTGTCTGTCGCTCTCGTCGCCATGTCGCCACCGTGGCCGCCCCGTCGCCGCCTCGTCGCCGCCCGTCGCCTGGGCCTGCAGGCCGCTCTTGCCGCCGTGCCGCCGCCGTCGCGGCCTCGTCGCCGCCCGTCGCCTCGTCGCCGCCCGCTGTGCATTGATGTACATCCTTTTACATTGCTGCGCACTGCCTCGCACTGCTTTGCATTGCTTTGCATTGCTTCGCATCGGTTTGCATTGCTTGGCATTGCATTGCTCTGCGTTACTTTGCATTGCTTTGCACCACTCTGCATTGCGCGGTTTTGATTGCGTTGCAATGCTTTACCTTGCTTTGCATTGGTTTGCATTGCTTTGCATTGCTGTTTTCTCTGCGTTGATTTCCACTGCTGAACCACTTCTATGAGTTGCGTTGCGTTGGTTTTCATTGCTTTTGTGCAGCTTCCAAGTGGGAATCGACAGTTCGTCACGTGAGGGTTGTCTTGGGTTGTCTTGTTATGAAATCTGTGCAGCTGCCAATCGGGACTTGGTAGGGTTCTAGTGTAGCTGTTCCCCAGACAGTGCTCTTATTTCTCCTCAAAGGAGAGGGGCTTCCGGGCCGCTCTGGCCGCCATGTAGCCGCCGTCGCCGCCTCGTCGCCCCCCGTCGCCGCCCGTCGTTTGGGCCTGCGGGCCGCTTTTGCCGCCATGCTGCCGTCGTCACGGCCTCGTCGCCGCTCGTCGCCTCGTCGCCGCCCGCTGTGCATAGCTCTACAGTGCTTTGCATTGCGCATTGCTTTGCAATGCTGTGCGTTGCCGTGCGCCAGAGATACGGCACCACGTGGATGGCACCACGTACGTTGCACCACGTGCGTTCGAACAACTCACTGATTGGTGTCCATGCTGGCCAACATTGTTTCCTGCATCATGCATTCCGATGTTGCCTTCGATTTTGTCACAGCTGTTTTGGGCTTGTCATAGACTGGATGAGGAGCGGGGTTCTTCCCTACTGTGCCCGTCTCATTCGTCTCCGCACGTGCCACAATACACAATACCATAACGACTGGCCCTCACCAGGATTACGTCGTGCAGCAGGGGAAGGGAGGAGGACAGGTGACGAGGATGAAGAGAAGCAGGAGGGTGATGATGTGGGAGGGAGGGATGGACGGAGGCAGTCCGCGTCTCCGCGTCCACAGGGAGCGACGGAGACATGAATGGAGGGAGGGTCTGGGGGCCCTCTTGGCGCTCTCTTGGGGGGGTCTGGGAGGCCTCTTGGGGCAGCTTTGGCCCCCCAAGAAAAGAGAGGGGTACGGATTCAGCCCCCTCCCCCTCGAAGGCTCAACCTTGTCGCTTCGGGGCCGGCTTCGGGGCTTAGGGCGCTCTTGTGCGCTCTTTTGGGCCGTGTTGGAGCCATTTTAGGGCCTCAGAGCCCGTCGGGAGCGAACATGCGAGAAGGGACACAACTGATCTAAACCTAATTCCCAACCGTCCTGCGGTGTTGGGTCTTCGTTTTGAAGAGACAGCGCCCCGCGGCTCCTCCTCCTCCTCCTCCTCCTCCCTCCTTCCTCCTCCTTCTCCTCCTCCTCCTCCTCCTCCTCCTCCTCCCTCCTTCCTCCTCTCCCTCTTCCCTCCTCCCTCCTCCGCAGTTCGCATGCGTCTCCTCAGCGTTTCGTGGCCCCATAGGGGGCTCCACCGAAGGTCTCAGTGGCGGAACTCGCATGCGGTTCCTGCGCCCAGTGCAGCGTTTCGTGGCTCCACAGGGGGCTCCACGGAAGGTCTCTCAGTGGTGGAACTCGCATGCGGTTCCTGGAACCAGTGCAGCGTTTCGTGGCCCCATAGGGAGCTCCACCGAAGGCCCCGGTTGCGGAACTCGCATGCGGTTCCTTTGCACAGTGCTGTGTTTCGTGGCCCCGTAGGGAGTTGCACCGAAGGTCTCAGTGGCGGAACTCGCATGCAGTTCCTGCGCCCAGTGCAGCGTTTCGTGGCCCCATAGGGAGCTCTACCGAAGGTCTCAGTGGCACCGCCCGCATGCGTCACCCCCACCCAGCAAAGCATTTCGTGGCCCCATGGGGAGCTGCACCGAAGGCACCAGAGGCGGAACTCGCATGCGGTTCCTGCGCCCAGTGCAGCGTTTCGTAGCCCCATAGGGAGCTCTACCGAAGATCCCAGTGGCGGAACTCACATGCGGTTCCTGGAACCAGTGCTGTGTTTCGTGGCCCCGTAGGGAGCTCCACCAAAGGTACCAGTGGCTGAACTCGCATTCGTTTCCCCCACACAGCACAGCGCTTCGTGGCCCCGTAGGGAACTCCCCCGAATGCCCCAGTGGCGGCCCCGCCCCATTGCGGCGCACCCCTCACACTTTTCGCTGCCCCGCAGTGCGTTCCGCCTAAAATACCAGAGGCAGCGCCCACATGGCGGCCTCGCCCCACATCGGCACACCCTTCGCATTCTTCATGGCCCCATGGGGAGATCCCTCGACGGCGATACCCGAAACGACGGTACTCACAACTGCATATGGTTGAGTCTTTCGCCAGGATAGTGTTTTGGAGCAGTGTTGGCCTCTTGGGGGTTTCCCTTGGCGGTTCGAAGGCATTTGAAACCGTTTTGGGGCCGTCTTGGAGCCTCTTGGAGAGCTGTCGGAAGCTATCTCGAGCCATCTTCGGCTATCCAGAGCCATCTTGGAGGCCATCTCGGGCTCTCTGATGCCCTCTTGGAGCCACGTTGGGTCACCTTGGACGCTCTGACCCCTCGTGGGGCGCCCGGTCCAGACCGCAAAGCTACCCACCCGCCCGCAAGCCGTCCAGCTCACTCCCACCCGCCCTCCCAGCACGGAAGTAACACCCGAGCCTGAGCATGTTCAGCGGTCGTCTTTGGATGGACCAAAGCCGACCCCAGGTGCGCGGCGCTTGGGCGAGGTGCGCCGCGCGCGCCAAGGGCGCCACGCGCGCCAGGCACTTCCTGGGGCCCGAGCGTGCCGGGCACGCGTGGCGCGCCAGAAGAGCCACGTGCTCCGAGTGCGCCAGGTGTGCCGCACACTCCGGCCGCGCCACGTCCGCGGCACGTGCAGAGTGCGTCAGGTGCGCCTGCGCACGTGACAGCACATGTTGGGAAACATGTCGGACCCCGCCATCCTTGTCGAAAACCAATGCCCATCATTGTGTCTGGTGGGCCTCCGCACAGCAGGCAAAGCGCCACCCCCGCCGTCCGTGTCAAAAACCACTTGACAGTGATCGCGGGATGGCCGCGCATGATCCAGATTTTGCCGCGAGGTGCATGCTGTATTGTTTTTTTGTCAGGGGTGGTAGCCCTGCGCGCAGCAGGGAATATGCTGACACCCCTGCCGTCCCTGTCAAAAACAATACAAAGTGCTCGCGGGCCTCACGAACATGACTCAAGACTTTGCCCCGAAGTGCACTTTGCAACGTTTTTTTTAACAGGGATGGTGGGGGGGGGCCGCATCGGGTTGGCCGCGCATGCTCCAAATGTGGAGGCAGAGTGCGGTTTGTGTAGTCTTTTGACAGGGATGGTGGGGGGCGGGCCCGCATGGAGTCGGCGGCATGGTTCCGGATTGGCCGCCGGCCGGCCGGGTGGGGGAGGGGGGGGATATTAATAAGAAACAATGATAAGCCGCTCCTCCGAGCAGGGGGAGGAGGGATTCGGGGCAGAGAGGAGGCACACTTCGTTCAAGCACCTACGCCCAGGGTGCTGGGGGGACTTCTGCCTCCCAGCTCCTAGCTCCTACCTCCTCTTCCTCCTTTTCCTCCTCCTCCTCTGTCTTCCTGCCGCTTATGGCCAACACTCGCGGCTCACCCGCGGTCCAGGGTGGGCTCTGCAGGCAGACGTGTGCGGCTGGGGCCACAGTCGTGCCCCGTGCAGCCTTCCGCGCAGCCCCGTGCTGGGAGGCGGAGTCCCTGCTCCTCCAGACATGTGCGAGAGATAGGGGGCTTACATGCGAACCCTACCCCTACCCCCTACGACTTCAGAGGGGGAGGGTGGGGCTCACTTCGCTCGGGATCTCCCGAGCGAAATGAGCCCCACCCTCCCCCTCAGAAATCGTTGGGGGTAGGGGTAGGGTTCGCATGTGATCCCCTAAGAGGCACCGTGGCAGCAGAGGCCGATCGGTCGACTGCTGACCCACCACCTCGCGACTTGGCGACAGGAGCCAGGCGATCCCAAACATGGATCTATGGGGGAGTGGATTAGCGACGGTCCCGTTTTCACTGGAGATCGCGGATCTCCGCCGCCGAGCGAGGCGGCACCGGCCGCATTTGGGGGAGGGCACCTCCCCCGATCCATGTTTGCGCGCCCCCGAGGGAAGTGGCCTTTCTGTCTTCTGCCCACCTCCTCCTCCTCCTCCTCCTCCATCTGCTCCGCCTCCTCCTCCGCCGCCTCCTCCTCCACCTCTCTCCTCCCTCCTGAGCGCCTCATCCTCCCCTTCCGCCTACCTCCTCCCCTTGCTTCCATCACGCCCTCACTCCGCCCTCCTCCTCGCGCCCTCTCCTCCTCCTCCTCCTCCTCCTCCTCCTCCTCCTCCTCCTCCTCTGCCTTAGGAAGTGGCCTTTCTGTCCTCTCTCCTCCACCCCAGGATGCTCGTCTTCGGCGACCGATCTGCGGGCACCGGGGAGCCCTGCAGTGGGAGCCGGCTCCACCAGGCCGCCGCCGCCGGCGGGGCGCTGCCGTCGCCGTCGCCGGCGTCGAGGGCGGCGTCCTCGTCGTCGTCGTCGTCGTCGTCGTCGTCGCCGCCGTCGTCGTCGTCGTCGTCGTCGTCGTCGTCGTCGTCGTCGTCGTCGTCGTCGTCGTCGTCTCCTGCTGCCCCTCAGGTCCTGCTCTGCCTCTTCCTCCGCCTCCTCGCCCTCGCCATTCCAAACCTCCTCGTCTTCCTCCTCTCGCTCGTTCCTCCTCCTGCTCCTGCCCCTCCTTCTCCTCCTCCTCCTCCTCCGCTTCGCTTTCTTACGAGCGGGAGGGGAGCGGAGGGAAAGACGGAGGAGGAGGTTTTGGCAGGTGGAGGGATGAGGGAGAATGATGAGAATTGATGGTGAGGAGGATGTGGCTGGTAACGATGATCGTTTTAGTGGTAATGATGATGAGGGTGGTGACAATGGTGATGGTGATGGTGACGGGGGTAGTGGTTGTGAAGGCGGAGGAAGTAGTGAGCCCCTGCCCAGGAGTAGAAGGATGATAAACGAGCAGGATGGAAGAGTGGAGGGAAGATGAGGTTCAGTTCGAAGGGGGTAGGGCGATGGAATATGGAGGACGAGGAGTGCGGAGTAGGAGGAGGTGGATGAGATGGGAGGAGGATGGAGGATGTAGGGTTGAGTATGTAGAAGGATGGTGCATATTGAGCATGGTGGAAGTCATGCTGGAGAAGCATGAATGAGGGATGATACATGCGGAGGATAGAGGCAAACTGTGTCGAGGAGAAGGAGGAATCTGATAAAGTGTTGGTGGGTGATGAACACATATGATGAGGATGGAGGTTGTAATAGGGTGAGGTGGACAAAGGAGTATGATCAATGTTAGCCCTTCGTATTGCAACGACTAGATTAAAGGTGAGCATGAAGATGATCGCGATGACTGCCATGATGATGGCGATGGTAATGGTGAAGGCAATGTGTACTCATGGTGATGCGTGATGGAAGGAGGATGCAGGAGGACGGATGGCTGTTATGGAGGACGCGGAGGTGATGATGGTGGTGACGGAGGGTAGTGGGGGGAGGAGGGAACAGGGAATCGGAGGAGGATTGAGCATGGAGACGAGGAGCTGGACGATCACCAGCGAGGATGGAGTGAGATGGAACAAGGAGAGGGGGATGAGGATGGATATCCAGATGCCCGAGGGCGGGCTGGCGGCGCAGGAGCAGGCGGCTGCGCTCGCTGCGCATGGGGGACAAAAAAGAAAAGCGCAGCACTTCGCGTGGCGACGCCCAGAAGGTAGTCACGTGCGACCCCTTTCCTCTCTGTTCCTTGACGGGCTCTCACGATGCCCATCTGGACGAACTCGGGGCTTTCTTGGGGCTGCGGTGGTGCCGTCTCGGGGCCTCTTGGGGCCCTCTTGGGCCGTCCTGAGCCTTCTCGGACCCCTTCGGAGGCCCTCTCGGGTCGTCTTGGGGGCCTCTTGGACCGTCCTGTGGCGTTGGAAGGGCAAAAAAGGCGAACAAGTTAAGATCCGTCGAAGCCATGAAGCAAATCATATTGTTTTGCCTCTCTGGGTCCTCTATGGGGTCCTCTTGAGGCGCTCGTGAGGCGTTTAGGAGGCCTCTTGGACCGTCGAGAAAACATCTTCGACGTCTTGGAGCGCGCTTGGGCCGTGTCGGACCCACCAGGGCTCTCCTGCAGGCCCCGCGGCCTTGAAGGCCGCGCCTACGTCCCAGAGCGTCCTCGGTCGGAGCTTAAGAGACGGGGGTCAATGCAAACGGGGGTCAGCCAGGGCACCGGATCCTGCAGGATCCTGCGAAGATCCCCTCTGGCTGACCCGGGTCAGCGAGCCGCTCGTGGCCGCGATGCGGTCGCGCATATTGGCTGCCCCGGGTTTGCGAAGCCCTGCGTAGCAGTTTTTTTTGATGTTCTTTTTTTCCCCCCTGCATTGCAGTTTTTGGCTTCCTGCTGACCCGGGTCTGATTGACCCGGGTCAGCAGACCCCCCGACTCGGGCACTTTTCGTCCGGGGACTCCCGCGGGCCGCCACGCGCGGGCGAAGCAGGCACATTGAACACCTCTTGCCCGACACTCCAGCCCAGCACGCCTTTGGCCCGTTGGTCACCACCCACCACACGCCCCAACCCAACCCGAATGCCTCAATCTGCCCTCCATTTCCAGTGGGGGGGTCGGGGAACATTCAAAAAACACATGGAACCCGTACCCCCCCCAACCCGAAATTCGGGTCGAATTCGGGTCTTCGGGTTGGGTTGGGGTGGTCTGGTAGGTAGTCAGTTGGGCCGGCGGCGAATTCCCCCCCCCCCCCCCCGTCTGCCCCCTTGACGAAGGGAAGACCGTGGAGGGAGGGGGGGCGTGTCGAGGGCACTCGGGCACCAGCAGGCGCTGCCCGGAGTCCAAGGGCCAAGGAGGAGGAGGAGGAGGAGGAGGAGGAGGAGGAGGAGGA